TTGAAGCAAAGTGGGGTGTAGGTTAGGACTCCACGAGAGGTCACGGCTGCCATGTTTCGCCTCGCCGCGCGCGGCGATTGCTGCCGTGATTGGACGAGACCCATACAGTCGTGCGATTAAGATCCCGGTCCCTTCACATAGTTCTGGCATCACGCAAATCTGCTTGGCATTTTGCCAAACCAGAATATTCAATGGGACGTCAATATTTTTGAATGGCAGCTGTATTTATTCAACAGATTGCTGTATTTCTTTAATACTACCTACTTTTCCCGTCTGGCCGCAAATCTTAGGCCCTTACAATACCTTACAATTGAGTGCAAAAGAAGGATTCACCCTAAAGTGAATTTTTGTAGATTGCTGATGTATTCTCTAAATATTATTTCTATGTAAATGGACATTGTTTTATACTAATAGTTGAACATCGGGCCCACTCCTTTCATAGTTTTCACACCTGCAAGTAATAAAGCAGACTGTTGGAAATCTAACGGACTATGCAAACGCCGCGCACATAGCGAAAACATCGCGAGGCCCACCTCTCCTCCGCCGCGTCGCGGCGGCAGGCTGACCTCTCGTGGAGTCCTAACCGTTGCCCCAAAGTATACACTCACCTCGAGGATGGCTCTTGCCATGTGCAAAGGTGAATGGGTCCGCAACTGCTACAGCGTACTACTTTGTCCGCTCAAATGTGCATTGGAACGGGCTGGATGGTAACCACACCCGGGCGCCGTATCCATTCCACCCGCGCTTTGGGATAGGCTGTGCCGTGTCTTCGAGGAGCATCTTCGTACCACAGGGGACGTCCACAAGACTGTTATTGAAACCAAAAAGGAGGCGTTCAGACTTGTAGCGCTACGTCGCGCTTCAGCTGTAGCGCTACAGTTGTAGCGCTACCGCGCTTCAGTGCAGCGCTAAAGTTGTAGCGCTACAAGTCTGAACGCTGCCGAAAGCATTTTGTGGGTACCATATCTTTCGCAAGAGCTTTGTTTGTAAACCGCTGATAAAAACCCGACCGATTTGTAGTTCTCTTGTGTTCTCTTCAAGCACTTACAATTAGTTTTGGCTCACATGTAAGAGGTCACGCAGCACTTTTCGCAGCAGCTTTCCTAATAAGGAGGCCTTTGAACGGCGGAGAGTGCGAGCCCGCTGCTCTGGTCTTTCTCTTTCATAGCTGGAAGCGGGTTGTGAGCCATATGAGAGAATATTTTCTGCCTACAGAACCTAGTTTGGCAAGCAGAAAACAGTCCGGTGCTACATTGCAGCCACTCGAGAATGGCTATCAGAAAAAAAAAAAAACAAAAGACCCGAGAGCTAAAGTATTAGGCCAGAATGACGCGCTGTTGGGCGAAGTTCAGAGAAGTGACGGGAAAGAAATCTCAGTCAAAAAACTCACAGAGAACAGCGGGGATGCGCAAGCTGCGAACGGATGGCCGATCGGCATACGTAATATACATTATGCTTCAGCAAAATAGTATCATTAGACGCTGCAAGGAAAACACGTGGCCTTGGGATTGATAATGCTGTGTGCTACAAGTCCCCGGAATAGGCGCACATATTTGGTGTATGACAACACAACCGTCGGGTCTTATCAGACGAGGAGCGTATCCTTGCCCACTTCGCCGTGCCATCCTCACGCTTTCCATCGCCTAGTTGCGACGGCATGTGAAAGTGCTATTTCTCGATAGCACTCGGAAGATGTTCTAGAAAAAGCTAATGACAGCGTTGATAGGTCGTGAAGGAAGGCCGTAGGCCGGGAGAATGTCATGAATGAGGCAGGTCGCTCGAGCGCAGTCAGCTCAGGAGCGCATGAAACCTGCTTCAAGTACTTGCTGAATTTTGCCCATGGCAGACTCAGCCAGCTTGCGAATCAACACTACCGCAGAGAACTATCCACGGATTATATTTCTGTAATATGCTGTCACTACTACTACTTAGAATGTGTAGTATGATGATGTCCAGAAAATCCCCAAACCTGTCGGTAACCGTATACCCTGTGGGAGTGCCGCTACGCTAGCTTATCAGTTGCTGTACTGCATGAACTTCATCACAATATTTCTCAATGTATTTATGTTCTCCTGCAGGACGATCAGTCCAGGACGACGGATGCGGTGCTTTGAGAGGAGAGGGAGTACCGTCGCTGCACTTCTTCTCCAGTCCAGATTATCCCAACCTGTACCCACCGAATATGGACTGCGTTCGTGTGATCCAAGCCAGGCCTGGATTCGACCTGCTTGTCAACTTTCATCATCACTTTCAGGTAGGAATTTCGGAGAACTTTTTCGTAGCCACAGTACATAAGCCTCGGATACACCTTTGGGTGTTTCGGGGAGGTAGAGTTACTCTCACGCTTCAGCATGATTTTGCTCAAGTGAATTTTGAGTGACATTGAGTGCTTGTGGACTAAACAACTCCCGAAGCGGATACCGCGGAGGTGTTGTAGTTCCGCAAATCATCCTGGGAGGCTCTATAGCACCTGCTAAGCGAAATCATAACAAAACCGTAAGTAAACCTGTTATGGTATTAGAGGCACAGTCATACCGGGAGTTAGCAGAACCTTTGGAAGTTTCTCATTCATATGCTAGCAGGCCTCGGCAGTTTCGGCAGTTATTCGTTATAGCCGCGCACGGTGAGCACCCATATAGGTTGAATGACCTGACGAAGGGACCTGCTACACCTCGAACTGGGCTGACAACCCCTCATGGGCTGGTCAATAAGTGATAAGCTCACAGCTCACCTCGTTCGCACATTTGAGCCGAGGGAAAGATCCCTGATGGTTTCGGACTCTGGCTACCCACCGATAGAGGGATTTCTGATGTACTTATCCGCTGTTCTCGAAATGTCAAATTCATAATGTAGTGCTCCATTTGTGAATCTTCCTTCGAATGCCGTTTTAGATAGAGACGTTCTACACTGCTGACAAGAATGTTGATACCGAAACAGTTACCTCGAACTGCCCCAATGATTTTGTTGTGAGTTCCTCTTTTTCAACTTCTTATAGATCACGGAATCGATTATTAATAAATTTATTTATTTATTCAGTACACTGAAAGTGTGTTCAAGAATGATGAAAACGTCCATGATCAGTGGGAAACTGTCTGTCTGAAGAAATAAAATTACAAGATATCAGTTGCACAGGGGCTCGAAAATTGCAATCATAAGCCAACTGCTTGGACACCCCTGTTCCTGGACGTGTGGACTGATCAGGTATCTGCAGAAGTCGGGATCATTGTTCTGCCATTTATGGGGTGGCAGCTCTCTTGATGACATATAGGAGTCCTGCAGCTAATTAACTGCTTTTTTAACGACCGTTACTTTAATACATGGTCTGCTGAAAATACAAAGAGACGGTTCGCGCTGGTTAGGATGCTATGGCATCGCCAGACTAGCGACGCCCCAGCCCTTTAGTGGAAGTAGAACTCGGCCGCAGCATCCATCGCTGAAAACAGCTCATTTGTTTGCTGGATTATTCGAACTGGAATACCGTGGTACCTTGACTGTCGAAGACAGTCCAGCTGAAGAAGTGGAGCTATGAAAACATTATGGGATTTGGTCGAATCCTAGCATGAGAGGCAGACTTTCCAGTTCTTAACATGGTAGTCTTTTGCCTCCGGTCAAGTTCAACAATGAGTTTAAAGACAGCGCCCGCGATAAAAAGTGTCATGGAATAATGGCTTTTCAATTCAAAAGCGGCAGCTGATAAGTAATTCTCCAAAGAAGAGAAAAAGCAAGAGGAGTTCCCAAGAACACCATAAACAAGATCGCTCCCTGTCAGTCACACAAACCTGTGCTCTCTGTGCAACCCCTGGCTCACAAATCCCTTTTCGCATCTCCCAGTAATGGATGTCCATTGCAAAAAAAACACACAATGAATCAACAACCACAACAACACACAAAACACAACCAAATAAAACGCATACCACAACAAACCTTGAAGAAAAACGGAATCTCACCTACAACCCGCGGGTGTCATGAACTCCTTCGGGAACCCCGGTAAGAATCTTGATAAGGAATATACCCTCTAAAAAACTCAGCCACCGAATTACAGGTTACGGTATATTTGTCTTCCGCCACCTCTTTTAGTGTGTGTGTTTATGCGTCGATTTGCACCATGACAATTGATGCTCGTGATTTTCACCCGGCAATTTACCTTGCGAGATGGATGAACGTTATGTGCTGCTCAATGAATACATGTAATAAAGGCAGCAGAATTATTTATGGGCACGAGCGTGGTCAGCGAAAAGGACATGAATGCCGATTAATGCCCGCCGCCCCAACAAAGAACAACTGAGCGGCCCTCCGTCGGAGGGCATCTAGCAAGTGGGCGGTCCAACTGAGCGGGCGTTAGAACTAGAACTTTCAGCGGCTGTAGCTTGCTCCTCGCTCGTTGTGGAGTAGCGAGAGTTCGCGAGAGTGAGACAGTTTCTACACTGAAGCATAATCATAGTTCCACCCATGAATCTCACAAAATCCCGTCTTACACGACGTTTTCAAAAATGCCCCCATACAGAAAATGTGGTAATTACCAATACCAATTCGCATGCCAACACCAAACTCTAGCTTGAAAAAACTTTTTTTCGTCAATTTTTTCAAAAATGGTCGTTCTGACAACGCAGCAAAAATATAGTTCCACCGCATATTTTCCGGCTGCATCTCATTTTTGTTCGGTGAAACTTCTCATCATTATGACTTCTGCCTCTTCTAGGCTATGGCAAGTGGAACTTCATTAATGGACCTCGAAAAAGGACAGATTATCGCAAAGAAGACTCAAAAACTGGTGAAGCGTCGATCGCTCGGGATTCGGGCCGCACTCATCATTCTATAAACAATTTTTTCCAAGGAACTCGTTCTATAAACAGTTTTTTCCAAGGGACCTACAGCATATTGAGTTGAGAAGAGCTCTGGACATCCTCCTTTGCTGCCCGATCGGAATAACCGCCGTATCCTTAGGAAAGCATCCAACTCTGCAGTGTCGTGTCGGGAAATTAAGTCATCTTCGCAGGTTAATGTCTCGGAGGATACTGTTATGTCTTGGAAAACTCCCGAGTTCACCCATAGGAGGAATATGAGTTACGTACTTTTCAACAAAAAACCATCGCGAAAACCTAATTGGCTTTGCTCGAAGATGTTGCCGAACCCAATAAGTTGGCTTTTGGCTGCGGTGCCCTACTGCTTGTCTGTAGTGTTTTTTCAGTTTTTTTCTCGCGGTCGTGTTTTCTGATGAGAAAAAATTCAACTGCGGCTCCGACGAAAACCGATTCCGCTGGCACGACCTGAGGGAAGACAAGTTTCATTTTTCCGGGCGGAACTTCAGTGGATGTGGTCTCATGGTCTGGGCTGCCATCGCATGAATGGAACGTCTGAAACTGCGCTCCGTATGAAAAAAGAAATGATTTCTTCCGTCATCTAAAAGTCACGCGACAACGTCTCCTTGCTTTCTGGCGTAGAAATCAGCAAGAAAGTCCCGTTTTCATGCAGGATAATGCACCAGTTCATGACAGTCGAAGCACTCGAGCGTGATTCAGTTGTCACCAAACCGCTCTTTTGCCCTGGCCAGCGAGTAGCCCCGACTAAAACCCAATCGAGGATGTGAGGGGCTTCATGGTGCGTATGATCCATGAGAGTAATGCACAATTCCACAATGTCCGTGAGCTTAGGGAGTAATCATTGGGGCAGTCGGCCGAAAGCCTATTAAAATCTCTAATCGAACATGGGCAACCGTATTTTCCAACTTAATTGGAGAAATAGAGTTCCAATAGATTACTGGATCAAAATTTATTCATTTTATTGTACATTTGTTGTTGGAATATTCGATTTGTTCGGTGGAACTATCATTTTGCTGCGTTGTCAGAACGACT